TGTTGCTATTTATCACCTTTTAAGACAAACTCCTTTCAAAGTTTCAAAGTTCAAAACAATAAACCAATCGTTTCGGTGCTCGAAAAGCCTTTTCCTTTACGTTTGCAAGCATCTGGAACGCGAAACTTTCATTCATTCATGTTTCTTTTGATTAGTCGATATGAGGGTTGCGATCATGAGGCCAAATGTTCTGTATTTTATTTCCACGGACCCATTGTCACCCTACCTTTTTAGCCTTCTAGACGGACGTGTGCAAGGTTTTGTCCTCATTCTGTCCTCAAACTATTCCAATGCCAGAATTTTTTTAGTCTAAGTGGTATTGCGGGAGACTGGTCAGATTATAGCACTTTTCTTCTCTAAGAAATGCAATTTTAGTTGAGGACCCAAATGGACATGTTCATCAAACAAAATAATAAAAACGTACAAGAACGTGTGAGCAAGACTTATATAGTTGTTAATGTATTCATAGTACGTCAGCTTGTTGGCAATGTTAAATGATACGTGACAGTGAGGTGCAAAAAAAAGCGGTGTGGAGGGAAGCCCTCAAATGCGATTTTATCGTCCCTTCCCTCACTTAATTAGCTGGATCACGAGTCCTGAAGTACTGTTAGCAATGCCAAGTGCATAGTCGCCGTCCCGTCTGCCAGTCAGCACTTTAAGTAAAATCTTTCAAGGAGACAATCTGTTCCGCCAGTGCAGCATTCTACTGGGGAATAAAGTTTAGCAAGGGAAGCACTTCAGAAGTAGAAGATGTGATCGCTGGAACGGGAATTTTATTTGCCCGACTGTTGGGAATTCGTAGAGAATCCTTAATCCTAGGTAGCTATAGAATAGTGTGGGACATTTGCAGATTAGGATGATATATGCACAGATTGCGCGGAATTTATAGTTTGTAGCGGCCACCCGCATGCGCACAATAATTACTAGCTCTTGTAACCACCACTGGAGGTCGTAATTCGTGGGGTATTGGATTGACAGGTCGCTTTCAAGTCACTAATTGGCACGATTTCGTTGTCTCTGTTGGATGCGAATTTGTTATTTGCGCCCGAAGAACCTCACCAGGTTCATGGAGCATTCGACTCGATTCCATCGTCAATTTCCCCACAAAAATGGAATGAGTGACATGCATTCATCACCTGAAGCCAATCGACTCAGCTGTTAATCACAAATCATTGGAAATCATGGAAATACGGTAAACCGAAATCGGCAAATCTCCATTCGGTAAATATGAGTAGTAATTTTGGCGCGCCTGGGGGAAGGTTTAAAGTCCATTTGAAAGTACGGATATTTTTTTAGATTTCCACCCGGTTAAGAGATCTGTATATTACTAGGATCGACTAATGAATACACATCGGGCGATGTTGGTGGACACGTGAGGAAAGGTGATGCTGATTAAATTTTTATGTTGGATTGCGCGTTATCCGGATCTAGATTTATCGTACGCCCGAACGTCCGACTACCCCATTACTGAGAGTCGACTTCCACAACTACCTGACTACTATGTTTCAATTAACTCTCCAACATAGTAGGATGTAGAGACCTTGCTTGCGCAAGCGTTTAAGGAGACCGGTTTGGAATTGGAACATCGGGATTAGGAAGTGTTGACCGCAAGTAAATTGCGCTGGAGTTCTTTAAAGGTGACTTTAATATGCCTATCTATCTGTGCCTGACATGAGATGCACGAGTCTGCCTGACTGTTTACGGTTTTCCAGTCAGTGTAACCTACATAGTCCTCCTTCCACTTCACCAAGAAACGATATTTTTTTCCAACTCGAAAAGTCTCAGTCTTATCATTAATGACCTCATGAACTGCCTCTAGACCCGCTAAGACGTCTAAGAAATGAAATACCGGATGGTTCTTGTCCGACTGGCGGGTGGATGTCAACCAGCCATCCAAATTGTTTCAAAACAAATTGAATCTTTTTAGAAGAGTAGTTGGTGAGCATACGTAGGTTTTCGATAAATCCTAATCGGGCCATTACATTTATATTGAGAGGGGAGTAAACATTGAGCATGCGGGTCCCAGCAAACTATCCAAAGTTCCTGGGTCAGCGTTTGTTGGCAACAGCAGAAGCAATCACTATCCGGTTGAGGAAGCCGGCCTTGTGAGTGCAAAAGAACCTCCTGCAAGCTGCGAGCTTGACACGGCCAACGGTC